AACCAACAAAGATTGTTACGTTTTGTGTGTGAACTTCTTCATGGGTTTTTACAATAGAGGTCTCATACAATATTTGTCCTTTTGTGATTGACTTACTTCACTCAGCATAATGACCCTCTATTTTGATCCCTGTCAGAGCAGTCGGTGGTGGTAGCTGGGCACCATCTACTTGTGCTGGACTCAGTCTGGTGGAGGCTGTGGTAGTTGTGGTCCGTTAGTCCTTTGGACCTAATCTTTCCCTTATGTTTTTGGTTTTCTTCATTCTCCCTTGCTCCAGACGGGGTGGGACCAGTGGAGTATCTTAGATGGTCGCTCACAAGCTTTTAAGACCCCAGACACTACTCACCAAAGTAGGATGTAGAACATTTTCTTTATAAACTATGTTATGCCATTTGAGCTAGATGTCCCCCAAGACCATGGTCCCTAGCCCTCCACCCAGTAATTTGGTCCCTCAGGGAGTTTGGATGTGCCTGTGAAGCTTCCATGACCTTGCCTTGGTCAGGCTGTGCTGACTTCTCCAGTATTGTGTACTGTTTTACCCTTCACCAAAGTTTCCACTTACCTATTGCCTTTTTTTTTTTTTTTTTTTTAATGCATGTGAATTTTAATGTGAGCTCAGAGTGGTGTAATTTTACATCTTTCTTTTTCACGTAAATATTGCAGGCAAATTTTTTATAAGATGTGATGCTATTACACATCAGATATAATGACCCACGTTTGTGATTTTTCTGCATTCATTCATTGCAAACACTGCTCCTCGTATGTGTCAGGTGTTGCCCTGGCTATGCTCTGGCATTGCTTGGGCAGTCCACGCTGTCAAAATCCAGAGTTTAGTGGGAGAGATGGAGAAATTAGTCTGGGGTAGCCTGCTGTATGAGGTGGCCTGCTTGAGTGCTCCAAGAACTCAGAGGGGCTATATCTCCATCAGAATCACCACTAGCCCCTTTGATTGCATTTGTTCCTTCACAGATTACCTCAGTGATCCCAGGTACTGGTCTTTTGTGTGGGCCACTTTTCAGGTAAATGCCTCATTTAATACATTTTTTTTTTCCTTAAAAACAAAATAGCTTTACTGTTCAATTCTGATCACATAGATTGGTTTTACTCATTTAGAAAATCACTACCAATTCCAGTTCCCAAGGGCTTGATAAAGAAAAAAAAGAGGTGAGCACAAATACACAAGATAGGATTGAGAGTGGGGAGATGACTTAAGATTCAAAAGCAATGAAAAAAAAAATTAAAAAAAGGAAGAAAAAAAAGCAGTGAAAGGAGTTAGAATATTTTGTACTATTCTATGCTAACAAAAGAAAAAAACTGGATGAAATGGATAATTACTTAGGAAAATATAAATTTTCGGAATTAAGAAGAAGTAGAAAATATAAATGGATCAAAGAAAATATAAATCTTTCTTGTCCAGTCTTCCTAAAGTAGAGCCAGGTATCAGTGATTCTCTCAGCTTTTGTTTGCTTCCTTCAAGTAGCAATTACATCTTGCAGTTATTTCATTTATCTGTTTACTGGCTAAATTTTTGTCTTCCCCTGGTAGACTGAAGGCTTCATGAGGGCAGGAACTGTGTCTCTTTTGGTCTTGACTGTTTCCCTAATGCTGGACCTTAAATAGGTTCTCAGTAAATATTTGTTGAAAGCATTAGTAAATGATTGAATTTGACCCTGCGAGTAATTGTTTTTGAAGTTCAGAGGGGGTCTCTTACAGATGAGTCTTTGGTAAGCAGTGTTGAGGCAGGGCCTCCTCACAAATCCAGAGACTGCAGAATGCTGAATAATAGACAAGGAGGAACCAGTGGAAGGCATGCCTGTGTTAGAATGAGAGAGTGAAAGAGGGCAGTGGCAAGGTTTCGTGGAGCTTTGTGTTTTGAATAATGCCTGTTTGTCTCTTATGAGTAGTGAGTGATGCTACACTGTGGGCAGACTTTGCCTAAGTTTCATAAATATTTAATTGGCTTTTTCAGGAGAATAAAGGCAGCCCCGTTGATGACTGAAAATGACAAAGCATCCACCTAACAGACGAGGAATCAGCTTTGAAGTGGGAGCCCAGTTGGAAGCCCGGGACCGATTAAAAAACTGGTACTTTTATATTTTTTTGTTAATTAAAGCCCTTCCATAAAGGACCTTTTTTAGTACTGATAAAGAGTGGTAGCCTAGGCCTTTTTGTGGTGTTTTCCTGCTCACTGACTCTTGGAAGATGGAAGGAGACTTAAGGCTAGAGCCTTGGAATGTCCTTTCTCTTTGGTGCATGGATCTCTGTGTTCATACTTGTTCCCTTTTTTGCTTGTTCAGCCAAAGGAAAAAGAAACATGAGTGGATACAGGGAAGGGAAGAGTTAATAGTGGCAGCGTTCTTTTTCTTGGCTGCCTGTCAGGAAGAATAGAGGAGAAAAAGATCAGGGATAGGAGAATGAAGGAAAGGGGTTAGATTGAAATAGCTCATGTGTTGTGAACAACCCCTCCTGTTTGCTTGGGTTCATTATAGTATGGTTGAAATATAGTCATCACACAAGGGCACTTCAGGGTGATTAGGTTCCGGAGCTGAGAGGTTGTACACCAAACTGTGTCATTGACCTGTGACCTCTGGCTAGTAATTAGCCGCTTGGGGCATCAGCTTCATCTGTAAATGTGGGTACTAGTAATATCAACCTCACAGGGTTATTTTGAGAATCAAATAAAACTGTGGGGAAAAGCCTTATGAACTGCAGAATTGTGGTTATTGTTGAGAACATCCTAGAATTTAGTCATTTGTTAGTGCTCAAGGTGAAGGTAGGTTTTCAGAATTCAAACCTTTTTGAGTTTTCATAAGGAAGAGTTTAACCCTCTTGGGGGTTATCTCAAAATTGACAGATTGGCCAGTGCCTGGGGTGTAGGAAAAGAAGATAGGGGAAGAGAGGCAGAGAAATGGCTGGAGCAGAAAACTGTCTCTGTTGCTTTTTGGAGCTGAAAGGTTTGCTCTTAGAATTAGAGACACTTTGAACACCTAGTTGTTTTTAGACTGTTTGTGTTATCTATAATTATTTCCTTTTTGGTTTCTCTCAGTATTTTGTAAGGCAGCTGTTGGGGCTAGGGAATTAAGGGAAAGGATTTTTTTGTTTTAATTTGGAAAAAAAATTAAAATCCAGGAAAATATAGATAATAATAAAATAATCTATGTACTTGTCACTCAGAACTAATAAATATTATAACTTTTTTTTTTAAATTTATGTTTTAAAATGAAAGAAACAGAAACATTTCTAATGCAATGGAAGTACCATTTATGCCCTTCCCAATTCAATTCCCCTCCCTCATTCTGTAGAGGAATTCCATAGTTACAATAGAAGTTGGTTGTATCCTTTCTGTCCATGTTTTTACCATTTTACTACATATACGTATCCATGAATTATAATTAGAATCATTTTAGGCTTTTAAAAAACTTACATAAATGACATCATACTGTTTCATTTCTGCATCTTGTTTTTATACTCAACATGTTTTTATGATTTATCCATATTGATATATAGAATATTCATTCTAACTTCTGTATGGAGTTATGAATATACCACATTTTATTTATCCAGTCCCCTACTGATAGACATTTAGATTTCCAGGTTTTCACTTTGCACAGAGTGCTTCTGTGACTATCCTTGTAAATGTCTCTGTGCACATGTGCAAGAATATTTCTTGGGAAATGGCTTTCAAACTTTTTTGACCACAACCTACAGTAAGAAACATTTTAAATCCAATGCAGTACCCACTCATACACGCATATAAATTTATCTGAAGCAAAATTTTATGTAACAGTACTTAACCTTAATACATGCATTGTACACTGATAATTTTTTCTGTTTCCTTAAAGCACACAAAAAAATGCTAGTCAGGAAGCATTCTTTTGATTTTACAACCTACTAGTGGTTCATGAGCTGCAGTTTGATAAGCTCTGCTCCATAATGTGATATAGACATCTTTAGTTTTACTAGAAATTGCCAAGTTGGTCTCCAAAATGCTTATATTAATTTATAATCCCACCAGTAGTACAGGAAACTTCCTATTTCTTATTATCTTTACCAACCCTCACCTTTGACAGACTTTTAGTTTTATCATTCTGTTGGTTATGAAATTTTATTGTTGTTTTATTCTGTGTTGCCCTTATTGTATCTTTTTAGACATGTGTTCTGTGATTTGTCCTTGACTATTTTTCTATTGGATTATTTGTCTTTTCTTACTGATTTATAGATGTTTTTAATAATACATTATGGATTCAAATTCTTTGTCAGTTTATTTGTGTTGCAAAAATCTTCTACCGGTCTTTGGCTTGTCTTTTCATTTGTTTATGGTATCTTTCATTGCACATAAGTCTTAAGTTTTAGATTTAAAAATACATATTATCAAACTATGGATTTTGCCTTTTGTGACTTGAGTATGCCATTCTTCCCTATCAGGTAGTTAAAAATTATTATTTTATATTCTTCTAAAAGGTTTAAAATTTTGCTTTTCACATTTAAATCTTTAATCCTCCTGGGACCGATTTTGTACATGGGATGATCTTGGTAATTAATATTATTTTTCACCATATACATAACCAGTTGCCCCAAAGTTGTTTTGTACGATAGCCTATCCTTCCCCAGCTGATTTACAATACCACTTCTGTATGTCAAGTCCCATATTTACATGGGTCTGTTCTGAGCTCTTTAGTCTATTTCACTGGTTTATGTTTACTCCTGTGCTAATAACAACACATTTTTTAATTGATACTGCTTTAAAATAATTCTTGATATCTAGTAAGACAGATTGCCTCTTTGTGTTTTGCTTTATTTGTTGTGACTATTTTTAGACCTTTACTCTTCAATGTGAATTTTTGTGTTGAGTTTCTTGAAAAATACTGTTGCAGCTTTTAAATAAATTGTATTGAATTTATAAATTAATTTGGGGGAATTGACATCTTTATGATAGTTTCCATCCTTGAAAATATTATACCTTTGTATTTATTCACATTTTCCTTTATGAACTTCAGTAATGTTTTATAGCTTCCGTAAAAGAGGTTACATACCATCTATTAGATGTATTCCTATGTGGAAATAAAATCAATGCAATTCAGCTGTTCCACTTTTGTTCTGACACCACCTGCACATGCAGCACTTCTTCCTCTGACTCTTAACTACCCAGAGCTAGGTCAGACCTCACAAGATAAAGGGCACAGTCCTTCAGACTGCCAGATCTCCCCAAGACTTCAGATGCGAGTTGCGTGACATCCATGAATCCTCACTTCTGACCTAAACAAACAAACAAAAAAAATCAAACCAGCTGTTATCAAGTAAATTCCGACTCATAGTGACCCTATGTGTTACTGAATAGAACTGCTCCATAGGATTTTCCTGACTGTAATCTTTATGAAAGCAGATTGGCAGGCATTCCTTCTTTCTTCTGTGGTGCTGCTGGGTAGGTTCAAACCGCCAACCTTTAGGTTAGTAGCCGTGTGCAAAGTGTTTGCACCACCCAGGGACCTTTACTTCTGACCTGCTGGCTACGAATTTGACGTTTCTCTCTACCCCATCAGGATACCAATCATAAGCTCGGGTTCCCAGGGCCCCCTCCCTTCTGCCCTGCTGGCTCCCACTACTCCCCCAGGTTCTATAACTTACTTTCAGAACTCAGTGGGAAGTGCTATACTTACTATTACAGTTTTATTACAGCAAAAGGGATACAAATGAAGACGTATAGGGTGAGGTCTGGGAGGGTTCCCAAAAAGGTCTCAAAAGGGACAGGCTGTCCTCCCACGTGCATCGATATCTTTCATCAACCAGGAGGCCCATGGAGCCTTTATTGGGGCCTCATTATGTAGGCATGATTGATTGAATCATTCCCCCCCATTGGTAAGTCAGGCAGTGGTCTTTCTGGCCTGGCCACCCCCTACCTGAGTCACCTCATTAGCATAAACCCTGAGGTGTGGTCTGGAGACTTCATCAAAGACAGTAATCACTGGGGAAATTCCAAGGTTTTAGAGGTTATCTTTTAGGAACCAAGGACAAAGAGCAAATTCTTTAGGTAAAGTTAAATTGTTTACCCCACAGTTCCTAAGTACCTTCTAGTTTTTGTTGCTACAGTGAGTGGATCTGTTTATATTACATTTTCTATTTGGTTATTGCTAGTATGTAGAAATGCTGTTGATTTTGTATCCTGGTCTTGTATTCAGGAACCTTGATATATTTTCTTGTTTGTTATAATTGTTCTTTTGGATTTTCTACAGAGACCATCATATATCTGCAAACAATAGTTTGCTTCTTCCTTTCCAGTCCTTCTGCCTCTCATTTCATCTCTCTTCTTCCCTCCATCTCTGGTTGTCTTGACCAGGACCATACCAATATGAAGTTGAATGGTAGTGGTGATAGTGGCCTTCCTTGTCTTGTTTTTGATTTTAATGGGAACACATCTGAAATTTCACCGTTCAGATGATGCTTCGTGTAGGGTCATAGTAGATACTTTTAATCAGATTAAGTGAAGTTGTCTATTCCTTGTTTGCTGGGAGTTTTTCTTTAGCCTGAGTGAATGTTGATTTTTTTCTTCTTCTTTTTTTAATTGTGGTAAATATATATGTAACAAAACCTTTGACATTTTAACAATCTTTACACGTACAGTTAAGTGACGTTAATTATGTTCATCATGTTCTTCAACCAGTACCTTACCTGTTTCCAAATTATACCATCACGCTTAACAAGCTCAGTGTTTCTTAAGCATTGGGTCCTCCTTTCCCCCTTCCTCTCTCCGTCCCTGGTAACCACTAATAAACTTCGATCTCTATACAATTGCCTATTCTAGATATTTCATGCAAGTGAGGTCATACAATAGTCATCCTTTTGTGATGGACTTATTTCACTCAGCATACTGCTTTCAAGGTTCGTCCATGTTGTAGCGTTTATTAGGACTTATTTCTCTTTATGGCTGAGTAATAGTCCAGTGTATGAATTGTTAAAAACCTAATATGCAGAGAAAAACCAAAAATTAGTGTGACAGAATAAACTTATTGTGAGTAGATACTATTGGTATTGGGTGTCAATCTGGAGGACATATCAACCCGGAGGAGGATATATCCAGAAGGGGATG